GTACTACAAATTAATGAAAATCCCGCCGGCTCACGGGGACGGCGGTTCCAGTACTAAGCTTGTACTACAAATCAATGAAAATCCCGCCGGCTCACGGGGACGGCGGTTCCAGTACTAAGCTTGTACAACAAATCAATGAAAATCCCGCCGGCTCACGGGGACTGCGGTTCCCGTACTAAGCTTGTACTACAAATCAACGAAAATCCCGCCGGCTCACGGGGACGGCGGTTCCAGTACTAAGCTTGTACTACAAATCAACGAAAATCCCGCCGGCTCACGGGGACGGCGGTTCCAGTACTAAGCTTGTACTACAAATCAACGAAAATCCCGCCGGCTCACGGGGACGGCGGTTCCAGTACTACGCTTGTACTACAAATCAATGAAAATCCCGCCGGCTCACGGGGACGGCGGTTCCAGTACTAAGCTTGTACTACAAATCAATGAAAATCCCGCCGGCTCACGGGGACGGCGGTTCCAGTACTAAGCTTGTACTACAAATCAATGAAAATCCCGCCGGCTCACGGGGGTGGCGCTTCCAGTACTAAGCTTGTACTACAATCCATGAAATTGTAGGTTGTTCCACAAAACCCTGTAAAACGATAATCAAGAAAAAACGATAACCCTAGAACGGATGAATAGATTTATAACGGGGTTTTTATACAACCCCAGGTGGTTTAAGCAAAAAAAAGTTAAGCAACCTTCTTTAAACATATTTTTGGGATGGAACTGGACACCTGCGGACAGGGCAGTGCGGAAACACCACTGGCTGCGATGAATCCGCGCGGCCCAAAAGTTGGATCTTCCGTCTCAGTCTACAGCAGAGTCGCACACATTGAAGGGCCTTTCAGCCCGCCGGGCGTTTGGAGAATATGTGTTTTGGAGGCCCGATTGGGCAAGAAGGCATGAAAACGATGTCGTTTACCATGATTCGAATGGTGCAAGGCCTTCCACGCTGGAGCTGTTCAGTTGCGGGCACAGAGAAGTGCGCGAAGGCGTGTTCCTTTCGACGAACGCGCACCGGCGTAATTTGAGGTCGTGAGGCCCGCGAAGCCTGAGGAAGCCGGTTTGCTCCGGGCGAGCTTGGTGTCTGAACGTGATCATCGTTCAGACATGGATGCCTAAACCCTAAACCCTAAACCCTAAACCTTAAACCTTAAACCCTAAACCCCAAACCCTAAACCCTAAACCCTAAACCCTAAACCCTAAACCCTAAATCCTGAACCCTGAACCCTGAACCCTAACCCTAAACCCTGAACCCTAAACCCTAAACCCTAAACCCTAAACCCTGAATTGGAATCCGTTTAGTCGCCAAGTGTCTCGCTTCGTGACAGTCCGCATGACCGATTGCATAAACCCTAAACCCTAAACCCTAAACCCTGCTAAGCGGGGATGCTTTGGCCTCTGGATGCACTGGTAAGATGGACAATATCATCGTTCGGGCATTGGTAAGACGGATGCCCGCATCGCTCGGGCATGGATGCTCTGGGCACTGGTGCTGGACACCCTTCGCGTACTAACGTGGAGAAGCTCCAATTAAGTGCAGCTTTTCCTGGCTGCGGACCCGAAACCCTGTAACTCTAAACGGCAGCAGTGGTCGGTAAGGACTTTGAAGAACAAACCTTAGGGGGGGCGGGGGGAAATCGGGGGGGGGGGGGGGGGGAAAACAGGTGGGGCAGACCCTAAAGGAGATGTTGGGTGATACATCCTATCTCTAGATATCTATAGAAGCGACCCTAAAGGGAACCGTGGCAAGCCCAAAAAACCCCAAAAGGACATTTTGGGTGGCAAGCCCGAAGCTCTCTGAAGGGACCTAAAGAGAGGTGTGACAAACCCCAAACCCCCAAAAGGTGTTGTTTGCAGGGCACCGCTACAGCTTGCAAAGACGAGTGTTGGAAGGCCCCCTTTAAGAGGAATGTCGGGTGGCAAACTCGAGCCCCTAAACGCGAATGTTGGCATGGGAGACCCTCCACTCTAATCCGAGATGCTGTGTGGCAAGCCCGAAGCCCAAAAACAAGAGAGATCAGACAGGACTCATGTTAGTTGGCCACGTGGCTTGCGAAGCCCTAAATTCTTAAAGCAGCCAAGGTGAGAACATGGACTCATGTGCTGCTTATAGAGTACATGATGTCTGTATGAACCAGAGGGTCAGAACTAGACAAGGTTTTAGAAACCCAAGACATCAAACGTTCTCCGAAGAGAGAAAAGATGAGAAAAGGTTACAACTAAGTAATTGTGAGCTCCAACAGAAAAGTTGCAACTACCCGCCCTTTCCTTTATTGTAAAAGGTACCTACATTTCTTAGTACCTATGTTTTCCATAATTTCGTCAGAACTTGTAAGTTAAGAACATCCCCAGCGCAGAGCAAAGGTGACACCCACACCTGCAAGGACTCGAGCCCTGGGCTGTTCTTAAGAGCATTTTGGTTGTTCTTGGTTCTGTTCAATCGAGGCGAAGAAGCTCCCGCAACGTGCACCCGACCTCAAACAACTCGCCCCAAACGTTCGCTGGGAAGCCGACCTTTTCTTGTCTTCGCAGCCAAGGACCTTGAAGCTGAAGGCCAACCCGGAGAGCATCAAGGGCAATGACGACAGCACCTGCTGCGAGAAGAAGACGTGTGCTCAGTACACCTGCCCAGATGGCAAGTTCCTGAAGCCCGATGCCGGCAACATCGTCGGGAGCAGCGGGCTGGACAGCAGCCTTTGCTGTACCAACTTCCAGCTGACGATGTCGCCTTGTGGGGCCGTCGGGATTAAAGGCCCCACTCAGGCGAATTGCGATGGGACGTACAGTTCGGAATATGGCGTGCAGGTGAAGAACGGTGCACAGATTCTGCAGGTCCCAGCCTCCGGCAGCTATCAGCTTGTTGCCCGGGGCTCCAAGGGAGGCGACCACGGCTCGGCAAACGGTGGCTCCGGCTCCATCATTACCAACACCTTTGACCTCCAGGCCAACGACAAGTTGCTGGTGGTCGTGGGTCAGCGTGGCTGGAGCAACCCCAACAATGTCGACTGGGGCGGTGGCGGTGGAGGCGCCACGTGGGTGGCCAAGGTGGTCACAAGTGGTGGGGACGACGCGTCCGCCTTCCAGAGTGGCCTGCGTGTGGAGACGCTGCTCGTCGCAGGAGGTGGCTCGGGGCCACCCGACTGGGTCAACTCCGGCACGGCCAACGGCGGTGTGGGTTTGGGCGGCTCACCGACCACGTCATCCACGGGCTACCACTCGGGAGGCGGTGCCAGCCTCAAGGCCAACGGTCGAGGTGGCGGGGGCGCCGCAAACCATCCGAGCACCAGCCTGCTTGGAGGGGCCTTGGGCGGCTCGCACAGCTCCAGGCCCGGAGGCTTCGGTGGTGGCGGCTCCCCGTACAATGGCGGAGGTGGTGGTGGCGGCTATGAGGGAGGCAACTGCGAAAGCGACGCCATCTGCCAAGGCGGCACCTGCTACTCCAAGGCCCTCAAGGTTGCCAAAGAACTGTCCCGGGTCAGCAGCCCCTAGAACCCTTATCATCCAACGTCCAGCCTTCCAAATCTCTCGCTGAAAGGGCTCGTTTTTTCTCTTCCCGCCCTTTCTCCAACATTTGTGTCTTTGTCCCCTTCTGCTTTCCCTCCAGGAAGGAAAGCATGTGCAGGAAGGAAGGGGAGAGGGAAGGGGAAGGAAAGAGGAAGGAACGCAGGGAGGAAAGGGGTAAGGAAAGAGGGAAGGAACGAGGGAAGGAACGCGGAAAGGGAAGGAACCCAGGAAGGAAAGAAGGATGGAACGAGGGAAGGAAAGAGGGAAGGAACGCAAGCTTTCAATACGAGTCGTATCTTTTTTTCGCCGCTACCTGGCACTTAAAGCGGCAAGGGTGGACGCCCCTCGGTTCTCTGGTCAAAAAGCTGGACCCTTTGAGTACTCAGCGGAACCCTGGGCATTGCACACCTAAACCCTACAATTTCCCCCCCCCCCCCCCAAATAGGGGTACCCTGAATATACCCCAAAATAGTCTAATCCTTCTTCTTAGAGGAACCCCCCCCCCCCCAAAAAAAAAAAAAAACAAAAAACACAAAGAAAGGAACCCCTGTTTCCGGAAACCCCCTACAATGGCCCGTACCAAACCGCGAGGCTGCCAACCCGTCAGTGACCGTTGCCGGCAACGCCGGCCCAGGCAGCTTCACAGCGACTTCGCCGGGGTTAGGGTTTAGGGTTTAGGGTTTAGGGTTTAGGGTTTAGGGTTTAGGGTTTAGGGTTTAGGGGCTCCCTATCCAAAAGCTCGTGGTTTAATGGTATGAAAACTTCCCGAAAAAGCCGCCGAAAAGCCACCAGCCCCCCGATCCGGCGGAGGGAATGAGTCTTGAGGGACTCTCCGAGGGCTCGGAGTTTAGGTGACGCTCAGTGGTGGTTCAGGGTTTAGGGTTTCGGGTTTGGGGAGCAGACCAAGGTGACCTACACCCGCTAGGTGCCGGGCACGAGGACCACACGCGGCGTGCTTTGCTTCAAGAAGGTTGGCTGACGCTTCCCCTTCGTGGCTCTTACAGGGCTCTATGGGATTCAGGGAGGTGGTTCAAGTCTGCTCTCGTACCCATGGATGTTGGGGGTATTTCGGGTCTGGGATGGGTGGGAGCTCAGCAGCATCCAAGCCAACAGCCCAGGTTTGCTTCGTCCGGACTTGAATGGACACGTAGGGGTGCCTTGCACCCTCCCCGTCTCTTCCAACATGTGGGGAGTGTCCTGAGCTGCTGAAGCTTACGCGCAAAAGAACCCGACCTGCACCGCCTGGGGCTCGTTGAAGGCATTTTGGGGACCTGCAACAGCTGGGGTGGCTCTGAATTATGGGGGCCGGGATCCTGTATAATCAATGTGCTCCTACCAGGGAGGCGAGTTTAGAGCCTTCAGATGGAATCGACCCAGCGCTCGCCTTCGGCCTGGCTCTCGTTTCGAGTTACCGCGCTCAACAGGCGAATCCTACACCCCTGACCTAACCCCCCTGGAGCCGCAAGCCCGACATGCCCTACTGAAGTGGAGAGGCAGCGCCATTCTACGAAGTCAATTCAGCCACTCGTGCTGGATTTGGGACACACCTGTTTTTGGTTGCATTGTTGTGGACACAGAGGGGGGACTTCGGACCCGAATCCCCAGTGCCGGAATGTTGTGAGCTTGAGTTTCGGGATCTTGGCAGGCAACCCCCCCCCACCCCCCCGGCTTTCCCCACACAACCTCCCACAACCTCCCACACCCCCTTTTGCATGGGCTCCTGTGTTGATTCCTCTCCCCCACCCTTCCCTAAGTGCCCCCTTCTTCCAACATGGCATCCAAGCAGTTCTTTAACTCTAGGGCCCTCTTTGGGCTTGCTTTTGGGTTCGTGTCGATGGCTGTCTTGGTTTCACAGCTCCCCCCCCCCCCCCCCCCCCCCCCTCTCCCGAAAAAGTCCAAAAAGTGCAAGCCCTACCTGGACTGGGTTGTTTAGGACCTGGATCAAGTTTAGGGCTTAGGGCTAAGAGCCTCCTGAGGAGGCTTTTAGGGGTTTAGGGTTTCGGGCCCTTACACACACAAACCTGAGAAGCGCCAGAAGCTTTCATAGGGTCAGCGGGCCTTCGCCAGACCACTCCAGGCCCCTTAGGGTTTAGGGTTTAGGGTTTAGGGTTTAGGGTTTAGGGTACGCCCTTTGCATCTTCAGCTTTCATGAATCATTCCCGCTCCTTCCCCCTCCAAGGACGTTCTTCGAGTTCTATGCCGGGGAGTTTGGGGGCTCGGAGCGATTTGCCATCTTTTTGTTATGGGGGTTTAGGGCTTCGGGCGAAGGGTTTAGGGCGTAGGTTTAGGGATTTTGGGCTGAGGTAGGGGAGGTTCGACCAAGGCAAGGCTGCTGAAACCCTAGCACTAAACCTTTCAAAATCCTCCAACACGCCGCAAGAAATACCCCCATGACCTACGCCAAAACAGAGAAACAGCTAGACTAGACAAACAATGTGCCACGGCAACGAGCCTCTTGAAGAGCTCGGGTTGAGTAATTTGAGTATGTCAACTTTGCCTACTTGAGTCCGAGAGGCTTTTGATCACATAAAGTGTAATCCTGGGATGGTCAGGGTAGACCCTCAAAGGTGTTTGGGGCGTTTAAAGTTTGGGGAACCTGCTCGGAACCTCAAACCCTGAACCTAGCCCTAAACCCTAACCCTAAACCCAAAACCTTAAACCCTAAGCCTAAACCCGAAACCCCAAACCCATATAGGCTACCTTACCCTGAACCTGCCCCTGATCTGGGCCATACTTGCAGACCACAGCAGCTGCAAGCCCCCCCCCCCAAACTTCTGCCAACCCGCCACAAAAACCCCTCAATCCCCAACCTGAACAGATAGTAAAAAACCCCAAACCCTAAACCCTAAACCCGAAACCCTACAAGCTCTCACCCTTCCTTCGGTGGAAGGTATGGCACGCCCCCCCTCCTCGCCGCAGCCGCCGCGACGGCCGCGGCCAGCCACGGCCTCAGCCTGGAGTCGTCCCTGGAGCTTTGAAGGAATCAACGTACATGGAGAGTAGAGTGGTGTAGGGTGGAGGGTTTTTCGTGGTGTTTGGGAGTTGGGGGGTTGGGGAGGGCAGAGGTTGTGGGACGGGTATTGGGGGGGGGTCTTTGCTGCACATGTGGTTGAAGTAGGAGTGACAGATGTTGCTTGTTCAGGGGTTGCTGCTTTGAGGATGACGGGGAGGGGAGGGTCTGCCCCGCAACAATCCCAGAAGCAAGGCTTTAAACACCTGGGACTTGACCTTCTAAAGCCCCCCTTTCTGGCTGTTAAGAATCTGCAGGAAGCTCAGGGTCCTAGGAATTGATCCGACGTTCCGTAGGGGCTTTTGTGGGGGTTTTGAAGCCCCGCCCAAGAGCCATCGGCTTGAAAGCCGGCGCAGAGAGGACTCTCGGAGTCGCCCCAGAAAACGGTGCGAACGACACACTTTGGGGGTGGGCCTTTGATGTATGAGGGGTTTCCGAAAGTAGGGGTTCTTGGGGTTCAGGTTCTAAGGGAATCCTCTATACATATGAGGTTCCCGATTTTCGTAAGCCCCCTTTGTGGTTGTGGCCAAGGGGCCTCTGGAACTTCTGAGGGTTAGGGTTCCAGGCTTGAACATCAGCGGGAGGTTTGGGGCTTAGGGGTGGTTTTTAGGGATGCCCGTCAGGTCTCGCCAACGACAAGGCCTTCCGCCACTTCTTCTGGGCAAAGGGGATTCGTGGGTTTAACCTCCACATCCGGGTGCCCTTCAGGTTCGTGGCGGTAGCCCTCAAACCCTACCAGAGGCTTCCTGACGCCTTGCATACCATCTTAAAGCCTTCAGAAAAGCACCCGAAAACCCTGAAAAACTTCTGAGCGACCAGACTGCCCACCTCAGCTCTGAGCCCCCTCCAGGAGGCTGCTGCCGTAGCCGCGACGCAGGGGACCCGAGACTGAGACCCACTATGACTCCGAAGGGGGAAGCGAATACAGAGGGAACCGAAAGGGCAGTTCAGGGGGGGGTAGTGCCATAAATTCGCCGAGAATGTGAGGTGTCTTTGGCAACTTCGACCCCCCATCTTTCCGCGCAACACCGAGACCCTGAGGTCAATTGTCACCGCCGTTACGGTCTCTGGGCAGAAAGCGTATGCTGGCATCCCAGAGAGGGACCCAGAATGTAGTTTGGGAGGGTTCGGGGCTGCGGTGCTCCACCTGAAAAACGAGGCCTGCAGCAGGCCCTAAACCCTGAACCCTAAACCCTGAACCCTACTAAACCCTAAACCCTGAACCCTAAACCCTGAACCCTAAACCCTAAACCCTAAGCCCCTTGGAGCTCCACATAGGACTTGCGCAAGTTCCGGGTCTTGGCGGAAAGCGCACCCCCGCTGCGGAATAAACCCGAAACCTTAAAACCTGAATTATGGGGTCGGAAGAATCACTATACAAGTATTCCCTTAGGGCCCCGATATGATTATACTGTACTATAGCAGCCCTCCCCCCAAACAACACAATACCCCTACTATATCAGCAGCCAGGTTTTTTCAGGTGTTAGGAACCCCCACAACTCCTCTCAACCACAAGCAATCCCCTAAATCCTGAGAAATGGGTGTCCCAAAGCAAACGCCCAAAGCCCCCTAAACCCGATAAGCCCTAAAAAAACCCAGAGCCCTACAAACCCCAAGAGCCTTATACCCATAAAGGCCCCAATAAACCCTAAAAAGCCCTACACAGCCTCAAAACCCTGTAGGCCTCAAAACACTGTAAACCCTATCACTCTTCAAAAACCATTGAAACCCTAAAAAACCCGATACAACCCTACACAACCCTACACAACCCTATATCCTTCTTAAACCCTAGAAGTCTGGCAAAAAGTGCCCTTTGAAAGCATTACTTGTAGCTACAAAAACCATATAAACCTTTAAACAAGGCCTGTTCGCAGCCCTATATCCTTCTTAAATTAGCTAACAACCCCAAATAAACATGCAAGAAAAGGCCACTTTTCGCAGCCCTCTCAGTCCCAAGAGGTCGTCCAGCTCAGAGAGCCCGTTGGGTCCTCGGCTGCGGGCTCAAGGTTTTCGGGTGTATACCCAACTCCAAACCCTAAACCCTAAACCCTTAACCCTTAACCCTAAAGCCCGTTAAAGTCTAGGTTGAGTGCCTCTAGGGAATGAGGATGTAGCCCCAAATAGGGTTGAGGGTTTAGGGTTTAGGGTTTCGAAAGTGAACCACCCCTACAAACTCCCACCAAAGCCATCCGTAGTTGATATTGGTTCACACTGTTTTCGCGATAAGGGTGCAAGGTTCTTCGAGGTTTGTCGGGAGCTGCATGATCTCATCTCCTAAAATACGAGCGTCCATAAATCTGATGAATTTCAGGAGTTCGATGAATTTGATGAATTTGGTTGGTTTCTACGAAGTCGCCCGGGCGTCCTTACGAGGAAGGAAGAATACAAGTAGACCAACAGAAAGATGCGAAATAATTGTGAACGCTTTGGAGCGCGCGGCCTTGCACGCCGCCGGGTGTAGCGTCGCAGACGAAGGGAAGCGAAGTCCTGGGCATGAGACGAACCGAGCTTAGGCTGTCCTCTCTCCCGTCCAGGTGTTGCTTCCTTCTTGCATTTTTGCAAACGGTGAGAAGAACTTTGTCTTCGGAAAACCGTTTGCCCATGGTCGCGGCTTTTTGGGTCCCCCCCTCCCCCCCCCGCCTCCTCTCACCCTGCCCAACCCCCCTTACGAAAGGGCCTCTTCTGGCCCAGACCCCCATTCTGGGCTTGAAGCCCTGGGTCTGGGCAGATGAAGGCTTCGACGCCCCAACCCCCCCCCCACCCACCACTTATTCTTTTTCATTTTGAGTGCCCGTTCACCGGAGCATTTCGTCCCAGAAAGAGGCACGGCCACCGGGGAACTTTCAGTCACAGGAGCCAAGCGCGAACAAAATACAGAAAGTTAGCAATCAGCACCCCCTTCCCGCCCAGTAGTTCGAGGCTGGGCTGAGGAAAAACCGAAAACATGAGGTTAACAAATCAGGATTCTTTCTGGTGAATCCAGACCAATGTCTAGTTGGACGGTGTGGGTTGGGGGTCGGCTCGAAGTAGCAAAAAGAGGCAAGCGCTCGAATTGCAGTAACCCTAAACCCGAAAATCTAAACCCTAAACCGTAAAACCAACACCACAGGGGGCAGCCCTTAACCGCTGGGCCGTTGACCCGAAGCTAAAACATACAAAACTATTCAGCTTAAAGAATCCCCAAAGCCCCAAACCCAAATCCTACCGCTTAGGGTTTCGTGTTATTTTATTCGAGGTGCAGCCCAGCCCGCGCCCGCCGCGGAGTTGACTGCAGCAGAAAGCGCCAAGCCATCAGCAGCACCAACCGCAGCTGAGCAAAGTGCCAGTCTTGATCGGGCCTTCGCAGAGGGTAGAGCTCAAGAGTTGACATGTTTGAACCGCGCGGCTCTCCAACTCGCCCCCGACCATGTCCGGCCGCGACTGGCTTCCCGAGACGAGGGAGGAGCCTGCAGTGCGTGTTGAGCGAGGGCTCCCTGCGACGTAGCGGGCGCTTTTCTGACGGGCGCTTTTCTGACGTCTCGAACTGCAGGAGTTGGCGCTCCTGAAACCCTGCGGCCTGCGAGAAGGGTGCGCCTGCGAGACCTGCCGGCGTTCAGTCCCGCCCCTGCTCGCGGAGGTTTGGCCTGCTTCAGCTACAGGAGCCGCGTTCTGAGAAAGGAGGCCAGAGAGGCCGTGCAACCCGCTTGTGCACCAGTCCAGAGTATAGTCTGGGCCGAGCTTGATTGAAGTGCGTGATCTGCTTCTTCTTGTCCACAGCTTCGTGGGGAGGCTTGCGCTTCAAGGCAAGCCAGGGTTTGCCTCGCCCGACAAGGGAAATTGTGAAGCGGTTCCCCGCCCTCCGCTTAGGCTGGGGGCAGCGACCGGGGCGCAGCAAACTGCTAGGTCTGCTGGGTTGCACGGTTCATCCGCGTGTCAGGGTTTGCATGCCTTCAGAAGGCTTGGCTTAGTCCTTCGCCTGCTTCTTCTTCTTCTTGCTCTTAGAAACCTTGCTCCGTTGCTTGAAAACTGTCTTTCTGTTGGCCGGAGAAACGCGCGGCCCTGGCACGCCAAAAAGATCAGAAGAGGCCCTGGTCTGATTGAGCGTAGCAGCAGTTGCGTTGCTATTCTTCCTAATTCTTCGACGTGACACACTCAACATCAATCGGTCCGAGCGGAACTGCTCCGCCTTGCCTCAGCTGGAGTCAGGGGTTTGCCGCGCTCGAAAAGGGAAATTGTGAAACGGCTCCCTGCCCTCCACTTAAGCTGGGGGCGGCAACCGGGCGCGGCTGTAGAACGCTAAAGAAGGGGCCTCGGTTATGGATCTTATGCAGAAACTGGAAATCATGGCATTATTCATCATGTTAATAATGGTAACGTGAGGAAGAACAATATAGAAGCAATAAATAGGTAGCGTAACATGTAACGTTAGGAAGAATAATGTAGAACAACTAGAAGGTAACATAAATACATTCCGGCAACGTTAGCGTTTGAGAAAGACTGCAGGCAGTCCTCACCAAGGTGAGGAACCTCAACGAGCAACGAGCTGAACGTGGAAAGAATTGATATTGCACGTGTTGGATGTGAGCAACCTGATTATTACTTACAGTGATATTCCAGCGCAAGAAACAAACTGCTCATGTTTGCTTGGTTTTCATGTTGTTCTGTGATTCATTTTTTGTTTATGTTTATTCCCCACCCTCGGCGTGGGGTTGTTACATTATAAACTAAACTCTTCGCCTCGCCCGGTCTACTCCTCGCCCATCGCCCGTATCCTGTATCTGGAGTGCCCGAACCTACCCGGAGCCGGAGTGCCCAGCCCCAGAATATCCCCGCCGGAGTATCCCCGAGTGTTTCTGGAGTGCCCAGCCCCAGGGTGTCCCTGGAGTGCCCAACCAGAGTCTTCGGAAGTAAAGTAATCATAGTCATTACATGCGTATTACTGAAAATTCACTATTATGTCATCCGTTAGTCGTAGCTTTTCTTCATCTAGTTTTTGCTTATGGCTGATCTGCTTATAAACATAGTATATGCATCGTTATTCAAGGTAATTAAATACTATCATTGATATACTCACATTGACTCGGAATCCAATGCTATTGATACAACAACAGATGGTAATAAGAATCACATTGGTTCTGCAAGTCATCAAAAGGGTCCATGGTCCCTACGCCTGAATAGGGATTGTGGTAGCACAGGCGGAAAATTGGGGCGCATAGGGTACTATGCGCCCCAATTTTCCGGATCAGGGAAAGGACGAAGGAGACCAAACACAGAAGGAAACCAACATGGCTGATAGTTAATGACTGTATGGTTTAGGGGACCGTGGGTTCACGGTTTAGGGTTTAGGGCATAGGGTGTAGGTTTAGGGCTTAGGGTTTCGGGTTTAGGGTTTAGGGTTTAGGGTTAGGGTTGAGAGATCAAACCGCATGCCTTGCTCACTGTGCCCTACTTGATCGCTCTCGTCTCCCTTTCGTCAGGCTCTACCCTAACCCCTAACCATGAACCCCAAGCCCAAGACCCCAAACCCTAAGCCCTAAACCTTGAACTCTAATCCCCAAGCCCGAAATCCTACACCCCAAGCCCCAAGCCCTAAATCTCTAAATCCTTCTGTAGGTCGGGGCGCCCACTGCTGCCGAGACGCTGCGTGCGCTGGGGTCCCAAGCAAGGGACGTTTCGGTTGCGGCACGGTTTTGTATGAAGCGAGTTTTCCTTCAGAACACCAACAGATTGTCGGTTTGGCTGTCGAATCAGGTTCTGCGGGCTTCAATGCACAAGGGCGTAAGGGTTTAGCTTTGCATGTTCAGGGCTAGGATGTGGAAGTGTCTTGAGCGTCGTTAACGCGTTTGCACGGTGGATCTTGTTGTCAGAAGCATGGCCCCGACGCCCTAAACCGCCGAAGCCCAAGCGCCTTGAATACTCCAAGTATCTGCAATGCATAACAAAGCTTCGTGACGCAACTGACAGTGCAAGGCCCGAACAGCCCTACCTGCTAGCACCGCCCAATGCGGCGCTGTCCATGCCACCTGCTCCTCTGCAGAAAGAAGTTTGGGCGAGAAGGGCTTCGGAGCGGTTCCAGGGTTTGGGGCTCAAAGGCTTTGGGGGGTGTTGTGTTCAGGGGTTATGAGCCAGTTGCACAATTTTGCGAAGATCATCGGCTCTGTAATTACCCCCAAATGGACCTGCCCAGAAAGATCAGGTGCCACTGTTGCAAAGCTTGGCTCCTCAATACCTTGAAAAGCACTCCTCTGAAGGCGCGGAAGTCATGGATACGCTTTGAAGGCCCTTGATGCCCCGCCCCCACCCCCCCGATGTTGAGCTTGAACATACCTATTCTTCTCCTTGTAATTCTGAGCATTTGGGCCCATAATGCATCAGCTGTCATGTAGTATCTGCCCTGAGCTGCTGTGGCATCCTTGCCGAGGTTCTCCTCGTCGGCGGGCCCCCCGGGCATGTGATGCCGCCAACGCCTCAGGTTTGGGTACACCTCTGGTGTGTGTGTGTGGGTGGGGGCCCATTCTTCTTCTTGTATCCTGTACCGTGATATGTGTTTAGTCATATGAGTCATATCAAGCTACAGTATGTTGTATTTCAAGATATTATCCAATTGGTGTATGATATGCATTATGGTGCGGCTTTGTCGTTGGTGGTTCACGTTTTCAGGTTTAGGCGTTTAAAGCCCGAACGCCCCAAGTGGGCGAAGCAGAGGTTGGCTCCCTGCCCGGCGCCTTCGCCGGCCTTTGCCCGGGAGCGATCGCGAACACCGCCCGCGCAGCGCGCGTGAGGGGGCGTCAAACATCGCCAACTCTGGGAGGGGGGGTTTAAGGGTTTAGGGTTTAGGGGGAGGGTTTTAAGGTTTAGGGGTTTAGAGTGTCAACAATCGCCAGCTCTTGGGGGGGGGGGGTTGGTTGCGGGTTTTCGGAAGGGCAACAAGAGTAATCAGGGATTCTCAGTCCTAAACGGCTACAGATAGCTCTTACAAGCCCTTCCCACGACTACTTGAC